GCGCTCCCCGGTGGTCCCCGCCCCAGACCTGATGGCCCCTTTCCCAGGCATCACTGCCCTGGGTATGAGGCCCCTGAGCCTGGAAGGGTCATTTGCCCACCAGATGTCTGTCTCAGACCCAAGGAGCTGGGAGGGGCAGCTGGGGACACAGAGGGCAGGATTGGGGCTGCCTGGGGTGGGAATAGACCCCAAAGCCCCTGGGGAGAGGACAGTGTGAGCCACTCAGCCAGGCTGCAGCCTCCTGTCCGTACCTGCCCAGCCCACCCCCGGGGACACCCTGGGGCCAGCAGTGGCCGGAGGATGGAGTCTCAGGGAGGGAGCAGGGACACCTGGAAGGCTTAGCAGCTGGTCCTTAGGGCCGCTGGCTCTCTGCAGCCAGCTGAGAGGTGGGCCGGCCACGCTCACCCCTCTTAACAGGTTGTCAATTAATGCCGGTGGGTGGGCCTCCATGAACCTCCTGCTGGACCTCGACCCCTGACCCCCACTGTGTCCTCCCCCACCCTAATCCTGGGCCCACGGGTGGGCTTCTCGCTCAACCCCGCACCCCCTCTCCTTACCTGTGAGGCCGGCCACCTCCCCCTCCGCGTGTCTCTCCCTCCGCGTGTCTCTCCCTCCGCGTGTCTCTCCCTCCGCGTGTCTCTCCCTCCGCGTGTCTCTCCCTCCGCGTGTCTCTCCCTCCGCGTGTCTCTCCCTCCGCGTGTCTCTCCCTCCGCGTGTCTCTCCCTCCGCGTGTCTCTCCCTCCGCGTGTCTCTCCGTCTTCCCGCTGTTGAAGGATGAACCTCGTGCTGCAGCCTGTGGTGGGGGTCACTCCTCCCCCCACCCAGTTCCTGCAAGAAAACCTGCCGCCCCCCACCCCGCACCCAGCTCATAACACCCTTGTTTCCGCCGGGCTGGGGGTGGGGGTCTCAGCACCCGGAGCAGGGGCTGCAGAGGAAGCCCTGCTACCCCACCTCCGGGCGCTCACCAGGGTCCGAGGAGCCCGAGGGAAGGGCGCGGCCGCCCCCTACCGCCGGCGGACGGAGCTGCCCAGGCCCTGCGGACACCACCCCGCCCTGCCCCCACCACACGCCGGGTTTCGAGCCCGCGGGGGAGGCGGATACGGGCCTCCCGGGACAGGGCCTGGTGAGCGCCCGCGGGCCCCGGGAGTGGGCCGGTGAGGAGCACAGCCCCCCTGCTGTTGCACACGCCCCCATTCCCCCGGGGTTCCCTGTGTGCAAGGCAGTGCGGTCCCTTCTGGGGTCAGTGCTCTGCTCACCCCTGTTAACGAGGCACCGAGGTACCCCAAGGAAGCCTGGACTCCAGGAGCAGTTGTACCGCTACCTGCAGCGGCGCACCCCCCCCCACCCCCACTCCCGCGCCCCGTCTTGCTGACGTCCCTGGCTCCAGAAGGAAACAGAAAGGGAGAGACCTGCCCGGGGGACCCTGGAGAGAGAGGGGAACCAGGGTGTTGAGCCACCCCGCCTCCACGCGGTCTCGGGGAGACGCTGCAGGCCGGGAGCCGGGTGACCCCAGCTGGGGCGCGCACTCTGGCCCCGGGCGCCCCCTGCCGGTCGCCGCGCGCACAGCCGGACCCAGCGGGGGCGGGGAGCCGGGCGCGGAGCGGGACCGTGGCTGGTCCCCGCGTGGGCCGTGGGTCTCGGCGGCCACCTCGGCCCGCAGCGGGTCCTCCTGGGCTGCCGCGCCGTCACCCGCAGCAGTGGTGCTCAGTCGGCGTCAGAGCGCGCTCCTGCCACACTGCGCAGGCGCTAAGATGTGCACCTGCTCTGGTAAGATGCACACCTGTGGGTGCCGACGCCTCCCACCTCCGCCGGGGGAGGGCGGACAATGTTAGGCAGTATTTTTTCGTTTTCTGCCGCATGTAAATTGATAGTAGGCCTGTGGGCCACGTGGTCCTCAGTTTGTGGAGCGGACAGTCCTGAGTGAGCACTGCGTGCTGTGAGGACCCCTTTAATCAAGAGAACTTGCCAGAGGGTGCAGCCTGTGAGGGGGACAGCCTGTGAGGGGCAGGCTCGCCACTCCCCAGGGCTGGGCACAGAGGGCTGCAGGAGGCCTCTCTCCAGACCCAGACCACTGGAAAGGGAGCCCGTGGAACAGCCCGCACAGCACAGCACCAAGGTCCGCGTGGGGGAGCCAGCTCCGGGCAGCCTTCAGGGCAGGTTCGATCCAGCACCTGAGCCCTGGGCCTGCAGACCCTTGTGCTCCCAGGAGCAGGCAGCAGGGCCAGAACCCAGACACAAGAGGGATGGAAAGGCCACCCAAGGTCACCCCAGCACATCCTGAGAGCTGTCCACCAGGACATGCAATGACCAGAGCTCCTACATCTAAACCTTTACGTTCAGCATTCCTCTGCATTTTTTAGGCAAAAATGCAAAAATTTCAGCGTTCCTTTTGGGACACCAAACCTGGGCGCACCTACCGGCTCCATCATTGTAACAATGAAACGGCACACATTGCTTCTGTAAAGTGACATCCTTCAGATACCTTAGTGGCTTTTGGATGTGCATACCTTTGATGGGCTGGGCCATTTCGTGAGTGTTAAGGTGATTTATATGATATTCGGGGGGGTTCGGGGTGAGGTGACTAGCGAGCCATGTTCAGAGGTCACTTGGGGCTGCTTTCAGGAAGAGTTTCTAAGTGCACAGCTCGTGTACTTAGAAAGTGCATCAGGTGTATTCACACTGCTGTGTAGCACCACCATCCTCTCCAGGACTTTCCATCTTCCCAAACTGACCCATTAAATACTTACACCCCACCTCGCCCCAAACATCATTCCACCAGCTGTCTCTGCGAATCTGAGTCCCCTGGGGACCTCATCTGAGTGGATCTCCCCAAACATCATTCCACCTGCTGTCTGAGACTCTGAGTCCCCCAGGGACCTCATCTGAGTGGATCCTACACGTCAGGCTCGTCTTCTGAGCAGCATGTTCTTCAGATTTACTGCCTTCAGCTTTGTCTTGAGAACCTGGTGCTCTGGGCGAACACTCCAGGAGCCGACAGTTCTTTTACTGGGCAGGTTTGGGTGTGTTTGCCAGCTGGCGCCATCCTGCCCCTGGGCACCGAGCTCCAAATAAGTCGCCCCCTTCGGCAGTCATGCATCATCATCCTCTGTGCACAGCGTCTGCCCAGGTGGCCTTGGGCTTTTCCTTCCAGACATGGCTTTGAGCCCCCAGAATGAGCGTGACACCACCGCAGACCTCAGGGGTGTCTGTGAAGCGCCCTCGCCATCGATGGTGGGGGCTCTCTTTCTCCGAGGCCTGGGTGCTCTTAGTGGCTTGTTTTGAAAGTGACAGGAGGCGTTATTTTATTGGCTGGCTCTCAGGAGACGGTGCCTGTCCCAGGGAGAGCAGGTGAGGGTCACAGTGGCAGAACCTCAGGCAGGGAGCCCCCAGCCTGGCACCTCACCCCTCGGTTGACCATTCACCCAGAGGGACATGAACCGTGGGTGCACATGGCGTCATTCGTAAGAACAAGAACGGGCACTGACGCGCGTGTCTCTTCAGAGAGGGAGGATGTGACAAAACGCCGGACGCTGGTGTGTGTGGCCCTTAAATGGCAGCTGCACGAGGTGGGTACCGGCAGGGAGATGGCCGTTACCTGAGTCATGGGACCTGGTGTGCAGCACGGTGCCTGTTTCGACAATTGCATGAAACAAAGGACTTAGCTGGGCCAGCACCTTGCCGTCCAGGGTCCCAGGGCTGAGCCGGCCTGGCCTCCCGGCTGTCCTGCAGGGCACGCAGGGGAGGCAGAGTGTGCGCCAATGGCCGCCACAATGTGGGGACAGGGGTAAGAGGGGCCCCTAAAGTGCAAACCCTCGTGTGGGTCTAAGGGCAGCGGCGATCTGGGCACCCACTGGACGGGCAGCCATCAGCTGGTGCGAGGCCCAAGTCAAACAGGAGGCACAATGCCTGGGTCCCCACCGACGGGGCCGCCTCTCCCCACAGGCCTAGGCACCAGGCACAGGTGCACCCCTGATGTGACTGTCTGCCTGTCACTGCCCCATCCCAAAAAGGACAACATGCAGTATAAGTCAGATCCTCATTTAATCAAGAATGTAAGCTAGGCCCTGACCGGTTTGGCTCAGCGGTTAGAGCGTCGGCCCGCGGACCAGAGAGTCCCGGGTTCAGTTCCCGCTAAGGGCACGTACCTCTGTTGCAGTTTGTCCCCAGCCCCGGTTGGGGTCGTGTGGGTGGCAGCCACTCGATGTGTCTCTCTCACATCGACGTTTCTCTCCCTCGCTCCCTCCAGCTCTATCTGAAGATAAATGCAAAAATGTCCTCGGGTGAGGATAAGAAAAAAAAAAAGAATCTAAGGTTGGAACAGCTGGGCTCAGAGGGGAGGTGTCAGTGAGAACAGAACTATCCCGAGCACATTTCTGTTCTCATTGTTCTGGAAGAGACGGAGGGAGCAGGAGACCACAGCTGACAGCACCAGGGCTTCTGGAGCCCAGGAAACCAGAGTGGAATTTGTTCCAGGTGGTGGTTTCCAGGCCTGGCTCATCCAGGTGACGTGTGTGACGGCCGCCGTGTTCCCAGGACAGCTGGCCTGCATGGCTTGGGGCTGTGTGCCTGGCCGATAGATGCCACCTCCGTGAGAGGGAAGGGACATAGCCGCCCACCCGGGAAAACGTGGACGCCGACCTCCGACCTCCAAGGTCTTGCTCACACTTGCTGGGGGATGGGTGGGGGGTGCACTGCCCCTGCTCCCCCCGGGGTGCGCCCTCATGGCCATCCACCCATCTATCACTTCCCCACCTCCAGATCATTCCGGGCTGATTAAATTAGCGGATGCAATCATGATCTGAAGCAAGTTAATTGAGAGAATTTATTTGGGTCTGACAGTTTTATGCATGTTTGATTAAGTATTATAAGGTTGGTTTTTGATTTTGCATAATTTAACTTTAAATCCTGCGCTGGGGGCCCATCAACCATTAACGACCAAAATAAACCTCTTTTAAGATGCATCTATTTATAATTTATTTCTGAGTGTAATGTCTTGCAGATTTTTTTTTTTTTTTTTTTTGGTGCTGTTGTCGAAGTGACAAATATGTTCAAAGTAACATTTTGAGCCACTGGGTTTACCCTTTAAATCTTCCGCAATGTATACAATTCATTAAAAGTTTTGAAAGAAGCACAGGTTCGCATTTATATCGCAACAAGTGACACATAAATGCGTATGTTTGTCTTCCGAGCGTGCACTGAATACGTCCGCCTGGCCGGGTTCCTGGACCCAGATGGATCGCCCACGCCGGGTGGTGACAGCTCGGCCACAGATCTTCCCTCCTGTCAGCACAGCTCAGCTCAGTCATTGGGAGGACGAGTTGTCTTCTGTGAAATCAGCACAGGGGGAAATGGACCTGGGCACACGGGTGGCGGAAAACGGTCGGTGGGAGTGCTAACCATGAAGGCCAGCCTCCCTGTGTCCCCTTCATGGCCTGGGTCTGGGTTTTAGGGAGGTACATCCGTTAAACGGCCAAGGGCCTGCTGCCGAGAGGAGGCCAGAGCCACCGAGAAGCTGGCCGTGTGGCCTCCTCCTTGACACCCTGCCAGGGATGCAGTACTGTCCAGCTCACAGAGAAGCCTGCACACTTTGGAAGGTGAAGCCGTTCACCCAACTCAGAACCTCCTCCAGAGCTTGGGGTGGGTGAGGGGTACACTTCCGAAATGAGGGCAAATCTGTAAACTGGGAGCCATAACCCAGCTGCCCTGGACAGTCCCCAGCATCACTCCTGAAGCCCGCAGATGTGGGTCGGCTTCCCCACGTCCTGTACCCTGCCCTGTGCACAGGAGGAGTGTGGGGCCCTCACTGAACCTCGGCGGGGTCGATGCCATGATGTCACTGTGAAGCCTGGCGAGGGTCGCTGCTCTCCAAAGCCTGGGCCCGAACGCCCAGTACAAGTCAGCACTGTACTCAGCCAACCAGTGTCAGGGAACGGGCGCTGTCTGCCCTTAGGACCTTCAGCTCCAGGAGAGTGGGATGGGGCGGGCGGCAGGGAGTCCTCCCTGCCCAGCATGACCTTTCTGGGACAGTGACAAGCTCCAGTGGCCTTGGACTTGGAAAGATGGGGGACAGCCAACGGCTGGGGAGAGAAGGAGGAGGGGAGAAGCAGAAGCAGGTGGGCAAAGGCGCAAGCCAGCCAAGGGGACAGAGGGGACAGTTGCCCCATGCCCACTACGAATGGATGGGACCAGAGCCAAACCAGGCAGGTGAGTGGTCTAGGAATTTGCAATTACATGTTGTTCTGCTCAAAGCATGTGGCCATGGAATGGCCACGCCGAGTGTAGAATCAGAACAGCAATCATTTTCTTACGCTCAGTCCCTGGGGTACAGACCCTCAGGACAGACAGCGTGTCAGGCTCTGTGCCCTGCGGTTCCGGGGCTGAGTCCGTGAGTGGCCCAAAGGGCTGGAGGCTCCTTCCCTCACAGGTCTGACTCCTGCACCAAACACCCAGAGGCTATCAGCTGGGCCAAGCACTGAGCTCTCCACTTGGCCCCCATGTGCCCCAGTGCCCCTACATGGCCTCCTGCATGTGCCCCCGCACATGACCCCCACGTGGTCCCCAACTTCCCACCACATGACAACCCATGTGGTCCTTACCAGCCCCTCACTGACCCCCACATGGTCCCCATCTGCTCCCCATGTGCCCTCCATGACTCCCACCATGACACCCCACATGCTGCCCCCCACATCCCCAACATGGGCCCCCTGACCTCCACGTGCCTCCCATATGATCCCCAAGTGCCCCCATGTGCCCTTCCTTCACCCCCCTCTCTAGGCATCCCCCCCCCGCGCTCCCCCCACCCCAGCACAGCACCTGGGCGCTGCAAGGGGGAGTCCAGGAGGCTGAGGCCGGGGAAATCATGGGGGTCCCTGGGGGTCTCAGGATCTGGTCACCAAGGCAACCCAAAGCCAAGGGGAGGTGGCTGCAGGGCCTTTTATGAGGCGGCGCCTCTGCGCCAGCAAGTGGAGGGATTGGGGGGCGCCAGACACAGCGAGGACAAGTGCCCCTTCAATGCCAGTCAACAACTTCCCTGAACGGCCAGAGAGCAGGGTTCCGGGTCTGCAGGCCATTGGGTCTGTTTCCGGGACAGCTCAACTCGGCCATGGCAGCTCGAAAGCAGTTACGGGCACCCGGGAAGCGGTGGGGTTTGGCCCAGGGTGCCCTAGATTACCCCTGGGCTTGGAGCCCCGCTGGCGTCCTCACGGGGTACCCGCCGCCGACTCTGCGGCACTACCTGCACCGTCCCAGCAGGTGGCGCCAGGCTACTGCCAGCAGGTCCGCCGCTCGCTGGGAGGCAGGCGCGGGCCCGGGCCTGGCCGGGGAGGGGCACCGCACACCAGGGCCAGCCTGCGACCAAACACAGCATGTGTCGGGGGCCTCCCCAGGCCCTGCCACTGAGCTGGCCCTGAGGACACAGCCCTGTCCTGGGTTCTCCTGATGGGCGGTGGACAAGCTGCAGGTGGGTGTCACCCAGCGCTTTCTGCAGTGTGTGGTCAGAAGCACTGTTTTGTGAAACTTTCGGGGTTGTTCAAACACGGGCATGCGTGGACTGGATGGCAAGGTAGAAATACATCTTCCTGTGATGAGAAAACTGAGCTAGTGGAGAGACAGGTCCATAGAATCTTTGCAGCTTTGGGGTGGAGAAAGGGTAGGATTGAGTTAGAATCCTCCAGGGCAGGGGTGGCGGGGCCAGGGAAGGGGTGGCACCTGGTGGAGGGGGCTTCCCAGAGCAGGGGAGAGCTGGTCCAGGTTTTGAAGGTTTAGTAGGAGCTCCGCTGGTGGAGGAAGGGCAAAGGGGCGCTAAAAGCAAGTAAGCAGGGGCAAGTCGTGGGCCAGAGGAGGGGGCGTGCCTGCGGCGCCCCAACGGGGAGGGCTGGGCCGGCTGGAGAGGAGCAAGCACCACCGCTGCCGGGGGGCGCAGTGCGCAGACCCAGCCCGCAGGGATGCGCGGTGAGAAACACTAAGATACCCCTCGCTCCGCTCCGCTCCTCCCGGCGGCTCCGGAACTCTTCAAGGCTCTGGGCCTCGGGCCCTCTCCCCCCTTCTCCAGCGGGCCCTCCAGACCTTCTCCAGCGCAGCAGGAGCGGAGGGGGCCGGGCCGCGAGCGCCCACGCGATCGGGCCTTCCGACAGGACAGACGGTGTGGGCGGGCTGGGCCAGGGCTCAGCGGGCTGCACGCAGGCGTAGCTCCTGCGCGTGGGGACAGACGGCGCCCACGTGTGTGGGACAGAAGTCGGGCGGCCGTCTCTTGCTAGCTACATCCAAGAAGTGTCTCCCTGTCCTGACACCTCCGTAGGATAGAAATATTTCGAAAACGTCTGCATAAAAACCCTCCTTCTCCTGGGAAAAGGCAGCCCCAGGGCCGGTGGGTGTCAGCCAGCCCGCCCCGACTCCCTGCGGCGAGCGTCGGGGATGCGGTCCTGGAGCCCGCCCTTGCAGCCCACCTCCGGCTCAGTCCCCCGCCCCCTCTACCGCCGGGCTGCAGCGCTCGGCCCCGCCCTCTCCAGGTGCCCGAGAGCAGCGCCCCGCCTCGCCCCGCCCACCGGGGCGCGCGCCTGCGCACTGCCAAACGCTTGCCTCGCAGTGGCGCGTGCGCGGAAGAGCTGCCCGGGGCTGCACGCCTAGAACCACGCTCTGCGACCGCGCGGGACTGGCCGTACGCGGGGCGGTGACGTAATGGTAACGTCACGGGGCGCGCGCCGCGCACGCACGCACGCACGCTCTGGGGGAGCGTCGAGTTCCGGGTGTTCAGAGTCGACCCCGAGCTGGGGGAAGGGAGGCGCTCTCGGTGTCGGAGTGGGCGGAGGGGCGTGAGGCGGGCACTACGGCGGCCGCAGAGGGACGGCACTACGGCTCCCACGCTGGGCCAAACGCCGCCGGCCGCCGGGCGCGGGAGCCCCAGCCCCTCCGGGGCGGGTGGGGACGCGTGAGGCACGGACCCCGCAGCCACCGCGCCGCCGGCACCATGCGGCCGCCCCGCTCCTGGAGCCCCGAGGGTCAGGGGGGCCCGCAGGCCGGGACGCCGGCGCGGAGAGGGCAGCCGGTGAGCGGGGGGCGGGTGCGCGGGCGGCGCCCGGGTGCCGGCGGGTCGGTCCTGCTCGCGGTCGCCGGGCCCCCAGAGGCAAGAAGGCAGAGCCGCCTGGTGCGCGGGACGCGTGGGCCCGAGACTGCGCGCCGCCGGCCAGATGGAGCCTGGAGCCCGGGGCGGCCGGGGTGCTCGGTCGGCCGTGGCCCGTGGCCCGCGGCGCGGAGGGAGCGCGGGCGCTGCGCGGGGACCCTCCCGGCCAGGGCACCGACGGTCCGCGTGCGGTGCCTGGAGCAGCGAGCTGAGGCCGAGCTGAAGCCTGCACGGCGCCGCTCAGAGCAGGGCGGCCGCTGCTGGACCAGGTTCTGGCCACACCTGCGGGGAAGCTGGGCCGGGGCCAGGGGAGGGCGGGCGCCGGCCCCCCACTCCTCTGCCTCCGGCCGCACCAGCACCCGGCGGCCATTTGCCCCGACCGGCGGCCGTAGAGGGGGCTCGGAGGGGTCCCCCTGCAGGGCTGCGGCCGGGCCCTCTGGTGGGAGGCAGACGGGTGCAGTGTGTCCCGGGAGCCTGTGACCACTTTGCTGCTTCCCCCTGACACGTTGTGCTCCCTGCTCTGTCTCCACGCGCAGACTTGGGCTCTAAATGGCAGGTGCCCGGTAAACCTGGAGAGCCCCGTGCTGCGCCCGCTCTCCTCGCGGCCCGGTCCGAAGGCCTTGTGCCCTGCTGGGACACACCGGCCGCCAGCAGCCCACCCCTGCCAGGCCTGGCAGGCCTGTCACTTGTGCCTTCCACCGCACCCCTGAGATCGCAGCGCTGTGGGCGCCCCCTTCTGCAGAGCTGTCTAGTTCTCAGCACTTGGCTGTCAAGTTGCTGGAGTGAACTGCCCCGTATGTGCCCCGTGGGCACCCCCTCCCTCATCCTGGTCCTGTGGTGGGATGCCGTTGTCGGACTTTTATTCGCCCTGGATAGAGGGGTCCAGGCAGGGCTGGGCACCCAGATAAAAGCAAGACAGTGAGTTTGGTGAAGTTAGCCTGGGTTCCTGGTGGCCCTGGGATTCAGCACTGACTGCTTCCAGGGGGGCCCCAACCGCCATCCTGCCCCTTCTCCCCAGTCACTGGTGGAATTAGCACTTTTGGTTTCCCCGTGACTGTGGGTCCCTTTGGAGTGTCCTCGTGAGCGTTTGTGGCAGATCCTGCATCTTAACCTTGATTTCACTGCCACCCAGGCTGGCAGGTGCCCCGGGCAGGGACGAGCTCGCCCTGTCGCTGCCCCTCGGGCTGACTCTGCCTCTCTGCTTGTCGCTCTCCTGCAGGCCCACGCCTCCCCCGGGGCTCAGCTGCAGGCTCCCAGGCCTAGGTGCCCATGACGCTGACCACCACCTGGACACCGCCTCTGCCGCGAGCTAGCGCCGAGGCCCCAATGCCGGTCATGCCCATCCCGCGACGGGTGCGCTCCTTCCACGGCCCGCACACCACCTGCCTGCACGCGGCCTGCGGGCCCGCACGCACCTCCCGCCTGGCGCGCACCAAGTACAACAACTTTGACGTGTACGTGCGGGCACGCTGGCTGTACGGCTTCATCCGCTTCCTGCTCTACTTCAGCTGCAGCCTCTTCACAGCCGCGCTGTGGGGCGCGCTGGCCGCCCTCTTCTGCCTGCAGTACCTGGGCGTGCGCGTCCTGCTGCGCTTCCAGCTCAAGCTGTCCGTGCTGCTGCTGCTGCTGGGCCGCCGACGCGTGGACTTCCGCCTGCTCAACGAGCTGCTAGTGTACGGCATCCATGTGACCATGCTGCTGGTCGGGGGCCTGGGCTGGTGCTTCATGGTCTTCGTGGACATGTGAGCGCCCAGGTCCTAGTCCGGGCTTGGTTACTGTGACCAGTGGGGTCGATGCCCGCCGCCTGGCCTCCTGGCGGGGTAGGTCAGGGCCCTGTCCTTCACGCTCCATCCCTTAGCCTGGTCTCTGCTGGGGAGAGGAGCGGGCTGAGACTTCTGTGAAGGGGATGCTACACCCTCCCACCGGCTGGTTTTCTCCTCTGACCTTCCTGTGTGTGCATTCAGGTGCAGTGTCCCCTTGGCCACTTCCCTGTGGTTCCAGCTTGCTCTTTTCCAGGCTGTGCTGTGGGGTGATGGTCGAACCAGTCTGTGCTTGGAGAGCCTCTGTGTCCCTGTCCATTCTCCAGGACACCAGCATCACCCGTGGTGTAGGGGGGCCTCGGGAGGGGTGCTGCTGGCTGTGCCCAGTCTTAGGGAAGCATCGGGCTCTATTTACCACACTGCCACAGAGCTGTGCACTCTGCCTTGGGCACCAGGGTCCGGGTACAGCCCACTCGCCCTCATCCACCTGGCACCCTGGGAGGTTTTGGGGTCTTGAGTCCCAGGCCAGCCTTCAGGGTTACTTTGGTTTAGGTAGGAGCCGTCCAGCAGGGCTCAGGGGTCCGGCCCAGAGCAGATCCATCTTCCCCTGGGCAGGTCTGTGGGAAATGTCAAGCCTCTTCAAGTGTAGATTTCTGGGGAGGCAGCTCAATTCCTTTCTGGTTTGGGGAGGGTGCTTTTGATTTCTCTTCCTTTGAGAGGACACCCAGAATTTGAGTGTGCACCACAAAACACAGGCAGACCCTGTGTTTAAAAATACCTCTTCGAGCCGAGGGTGTGGCGCAGCGGGGGCTGCCCCGTGTTCCGGCCTCGGGGCTGCAGCCAGGGAGTGACAGGCAGAAGGGATGTCGGCAGGGACTGCGGCCAGGAAAGAGCAAAGAGCAGTGGTCCTGGGGGGGGGGGGGGGGGCTTCTTGGTCACACAGAACACACCCCAGAGGCCCAGCTCTGGCCTGCATCGGGACAGGGTGGCCATATGGTTTAGTGGCCACCGTGGCCTCCTTGGAAAGTGAGAGAATGTTCTGAATAATGCTGGGACCACAGGCAGAGATGGGACAGGACAGGGGGCCAATGCTGCTTCACCCCAAGTTGCTCCCACGCACTCTGGTCACAGGCAGTGGCCCTTTTACTGCCTGGCCGGGTGGGCCAGCGGCCTGGGGAAGAGACTGTCGGGACAGTTATGTGCCACTGAAGAAAACCCAAATCAGGTAGAGAGCAAAAAGCACTTGGCTCTGCCCATGCCCTGCAGTTTGTAGGTGCTGGATGATTGTGAACCTGAGGCAGTGGGAAGGCTCCTTGGAGGAAGGTGCATGAGGAGCTGACCCTCGGGGACCCTACTTCTCAGCGCTGCAGAGAATCTTTTGCACTAAATCATGCTGTTTCCTAAAAGCTTTGTTTTGTGTTAATTAACTCGTATTACTCAGATCCTCTGAAGCCCCTGACAGGTGGGCGGGAGGGGTCTGGGCGTGTGCTGCCTCGGATGTCCGTGTGGCGGTACTCGGAGTTGACATGCTCGACATGTAGCTGCTCGGGTCTCAGTGCCTGTGAAACTCTATGACACGAGCCACCTGCATTAAACTTATTTTTTTAACGTGTTGATGGTTTGATTGCTTAAGGCTCTAAAACTGTATTCCTTTTTTAAAGGATATTAACAACCAAAACCCTGTCACATTGGGCACGTTTTAAAGCGATGCCGGGAAAGGTGCGGTCAGGCCAGGGGTGGCACGGTGGCAGCCTGCCCGGGGGTTTGGAGGGATGGCAGGGAGAATTTGTCCGCTGCCCGAGGGGGCCTGACAGGGTTCACAAGGGCTGGAATCAACCAACAGACGAGTGTGGGGGTTCCCTCACGGAGTGGGGAGTGGGAAGAAGGTCTGGACCTAGACCTGCAGTGGGCAGTCAGTCACCTGTAGGAAAAGGTGCGCAGGAGGAGAGGCAGAAACCCAAAGCTAACATTTTCTTCTTATCACCGAATTTAGTGGGGAAACATTGGTTAATAAAATCATACAGGTTTCAGGTGTACATTCTGCAGTACACCCTCTGCATATTGTACTGTGCTCACCCCCCAAGTCAAGTCTTCCATCACCATTTGTCCACCGTCACTCACCTCTTCCTGCCCGACCCCTTCGCTCTGGCCATCACCACACTGTTGCCTATTCCCCTGCGTTTTCTCCAGAGGTACAGTCTTGTTTAACTAGAAAGCAGTTTGGAACGAGACACATGATCCCTTAGAAGCAGCTTAGAAACAGCTGTGGGGGTTTCTCTGGCTGCTGTGGGGGACACGCGATGACAAGGGTGATGGCCGTCAGAGCGGCCGCAGGGGCCAGAAAGTGGCCTTGAGAGGGCTGCTGCCGGCAGCCTGGCTGCTGCTTCTGGACTCTTGACCTAAACGTCTTAGAAGAAATCTCGACTCATAGGGGTCCAGCTTTTGATGGCAGAGCTGGGAAAACCCTTACGAAAGCCCCAGCCCGAAGCAGCAGTGGGGGTGAACTTCCTTTGTGAGGCTGAGCTGAGCTCTGTGGGTGCTGCTACCCAGGCCAGCCTCATCTGTGCCCTGGGTGGGCTCGGAGCCCAGAGGTGGGCACAGGAGTGTACCCCAGGAGAGCCCTCCACCGCACCTGCTACCCAGGCCAGCCTCATCTGTGCCCTGGATGGGCTCGGAGCCCAGAGGTGGGCACAGGAGTGTACCCCGGGAGAGCCCTCCACCGCACCTGCTTCCCTGGGCAGCGCTGCCCCAGGTTGGTCCTCGCCTCATGGGGTCCCCCACCCACTTCATGGCTTCCTCGGGGTTCTTGAGGCTGGCGCTGCCCAGTGTGGGAGCACCAGCCCATGGGGCCCCTGAGCTCTGCAGCCAGGCCAAGCAGCTGAAGTCTCAACGGCTTTGGCCACACCTGGCTCGAGGTCACCTTACGGGACAGGACCACGCAGCTGGTTTTTGAAGGTGGTGTTTTGTGTGCCAGGAGCCACTCCTGTGCTCGGCTGAGTTAACCAAGGCCCCCTGTGCGACAGCCACCGTCTTCAAAGACAAGGGGAGGCAGGGCCTGGACCAGGCTCCTACCCAGACGGTGCTCTAGTTCCCAGTTAGGGGCCCTTGGTGCCATGGGGTCGGCCACCCAGCAGCAGCAGCAGCTCGGATGGAGCTGGGCCCCCACCAGAGCGGGAGACAGGAGGGAGGCTCCTGGGCAGTGGGCATGGCTGCAACGCCTCAGAGCAGGTTTACTGCTCACTGTGGAAGTGACCGGCATGATGGGGGGCTCTGGAGCTTCCTGGGCCTGAAGACAGTCACTCAGCGAATCAAGGGGCCGGGGACTGGTTAAGGGGATAAATCCTCGCAAAGCCTCGGTCAGCTGCTGCCCCCTCCTCGCCCTCCAAATGGCCCAGGCGACCAGAGGTGGAGAAGTGATCAGTGAGCTGCAAGGGCAGAGCCCAGTGACCTGGGAGGTGAGGAAGGCCACCCCTGCCCAGGACGCGCAGGTGGACGAAGGGACTTGAGGGCCAGGGCAGTGTGACTGGAGGAGGAAGCAGTGCCCAGAGGATCTGGGGTTGGCAATGCCACCTGGTGGTGACAGCATCTGGAGGATGGGGGCCGAAGTGGGCACCGACACCCGGCTGCGAGCGGGGGGTGGGCAGGCGTGGACCAGCTGCACAGTGAGCGGAAGAGGCCAGGAGCAGCCCCAGGGAGAGCTGGGTGCAGCACATGGGAGTCAGAGGGCCACCAGGGGAGGCCAGGGGCCTGGGAAGAGGGTCACATTGGGGGAGGGTGGTTGCTGAGCAGGAGAGGCCTGGGGGGCATGGGTCTTCAGGATGGGAGGTCAGGGTGGAGGTCAGAGGTCAGGGCCAAGGGCAGAGAAGGGAGGGAGGAAGGAGGGAGCAGTTCTCCCATGGACAAAGGTCAGAGGGGCTGAGGGGGACTCCCTGCCCCGGGTACTGGGCGTGCACTGGGCAGAAGGAGCCAAAGCTGCCCCAGCTGCCCGGCCAGGCCATAGAGAGGAGCAGATGGGGGGCCGTAACAGAAGGGGTGATGCTTGGGAGTTTGGGGAGTTCCTAGAAACCACAGGCTTATTTGAGAAAGTCTGAGTGCTGACCAGGCTCCTAGCAGGGGTGGCAGCCCCCCTGTGTCCCCCACCTTAATTAACCCCTGGGGTAGTGGCAGCTGGCTGGCTGGCCTGGGGGAGGGACACAGCCCCACCCACCGGGAGGAGGGCCCCGACTGGAGTGTGACCCCCAGTGTTCCTGCCGTGGACAGGGCCGGCCGCCTCCCGCATTGATGTTCCCTGACCTTGAGAGGTCCCTGAGGCTTCCAGCCTGTGATTGGACGAGGGGGAGTGGATGGCCGCGCTGGTGCTGACTCTGCACTTTCCGGGAGGGAACGTGCTTCCTTCCATCTGCAGAGCCTTTTTCTGTGTCTCCCTCTCTGGTGTGTGGAGGGGCCTCTGCGCCAGCCCCCAGCCCCCAGGACGCCGCCCGGGAGCTGGCTGTGCACCAGGCCCAGGCGGGGTGCTGGCTGCAGGAGCCACTTCCCAGAACTCCCGGCCAGCTGCACTCCGCAGCTTCCCAAGAGGAGCATCCTCGCCCCGAGGGGACAGGGACACACAGGGACACACGGTGCCGCTGATTCAGCGGCTCCCGGCCGAGCCCCTCCCCCCACCCCTGCGGGCCGCGTGCCCAGGCATCCTGGCAGCTGTCACGCAGGCCTCTGGCAGGTTGCTGCGGCTCTCCTTTGGCCCGGGCTGCCGGCTGATGCTGGGCGGCTGTCATGGCCCCTGCCAGGCGCCCCCCAGGTAGTCACACCTGTCCTGCAGCAGAATTGCCCCACAGAAGGGCGTGGGGCATGCGGGCCACTGTGGGTCCCCAGGGAGGAAGCGGGCCCTAGGCCAGGAGATGGCGATACACCGTCCAGGCCCCACGGAGTATCCCACAAGTTCCTCCACTCCGGCCCATCCAACCTTGGTCACTGGCTACCCAGCTGAGACAGGCTGAAAGGGCGGAGACTAGCCTGCTGATGGGAGCAGCCCTGGCCAGAGGGGGCAGGGCATGAGCCTGAACCCCAGCGGCCCAGCCGGGCAGTGACGTCCGGGGCCAGGAGCGTGGCCTCAGGAGGAGGGTGTCCCTGTGCCCTGGGGGCTGGGCTGCAGGCCCTCCCTTCCAGGTGGACCCAGAAGAAATGGGCTCCTGTGGTGGGCGCCACCTCCTCAGACAGGCAGGGAGTGCTGACGCCTGCCTCCCTGGGGTCAGGAGGTAGGGAGATGGATGGTCTGGGCCTCAGGGCCGGGCACAGCCAGGTGTGCAGACGGCGTGGTCTGTCCTCCTGGGGAGCCCCCATATACAACCTGGGGTTCAGTTGCTGCCCATCCCTGGCCCCACTGGTAGGAGCATTTCTGCCATCTGACCTCCCGGAGCTCCAGAGAAGGGTCCAGGGACAGAGTGGACGTCTGCCCCTCTCAGCAGCACCAGCAGGTCCCGCACCCTCTGCGGCCGTGGCTGCTGCAGTGGCCTGGCTCTGGCCCCAGGACGGAGTGGCACCCTGCCCCCACGGTCCCCCATGAGACCTGGGGGCGGGGGCTCCCCCAGGCCTGGGCTGCTGCCCGCTACCCCCTGAGCTTCTCAGAGCCAGTGGGGCCTCTGCGTCCTGCCACTGCCCAGGGTGGGGGCAGCCCACTGGCCACGCAAAGCTGGGTGTGAATTCAGCCCGTGACGGGCGGAACGGTGACGTGAACTATTTGTTTTCAAACTGTCCAGCGATAACCCTTCCGTGTGCCTGCTGCCTCCGTGCAGAAGAAAACATGCTCACTCACCCTGTTGGCAGTGCTCCCCGTGGGTGCTCCTGGAGAGAACAGAGGGGCGCGGGTCACCCCCGTGGTCACTTCCCTCGTGCTGAGAGGCCAGGGCTCCGCCCATTTGCCTTGACCACATCTGGGTCAGACGGTCAGTGTCTGAGCTCATCGGCGTGAAGGAGGGCCTTGTTCCAGCCCCGGCGGCAGGGGTGCCTGCTGCTCCCCACGCCCAGCCCTTCCTGTGAGATAAGGGAGAGGAAGTCGAGGGCCAGCTGAACTCGGCAGCCCGGAGTGGACGGCTCAGGAGTGCCGGGCGGGCCGCCTTCCCTGCTGGGGGGCAGAAAGGCCCTCGGTGCCCCGAACCCACGCCTGGTCTGCCTGGAGGACACGCTCGCCGACCACTGTGCACACACAGCGTTGAACGAGGGAAGGAACAGGAGTGACGGGCTGCCCTGTCCCCATCCGTCCAGGCTGCCGTGACCCAGGGACGTGGGAACATCAGACATTTGTTCCACCATCTGGCGGCTGCAAGTCCAGGGTCCTGGTGCCGGCAGAGCTGGTGGCCAGTGAGGGCGGCTGCCTGGAGCAGGTCACCAGGCAGGAGGGCCGGAGGCTCTCTGGAGCGTAATTATGGCGCATGAACCCCGTTCATGGGGGCTCCCCCCTCACAACTAATCACCTCCTAACCCTCCACTTTGGGGGTTAGAACTGAGCATATGAATTGGGGGGACACGTGATCAGACAGCAGCCTGTCTCCTGTGTCCCCAGGGCCTGCCGTGGGCCCTCCAGGCTCCCTTTCTGAATGAAGTGTCCAGGGTCACTCCGGGCTCTGTGCTGGGCAGACGCCTCCCTCCGGAGTGTCCACAGGAAGGGCGCTTTGCCTTTGGCCGAGCTCTCCTGGAAGGCGGCCCCGCTGAAGGACCTGGGCCCCAGGATTCTGTCCCCCGTCTCCGCTGGGTGTCTGCAGCGGCTGTTGCTGAGGCCTCGTCTCCGGGAGGGTGTGCCTGGCTCTCACCTGGAGGGCCCCCAAGCTGCCACCTGGTGTGCCCCAGAGCAGGCACCCCTGCAGCCACCCAGCCCCCCGCCCCTCGGGAGGACGAGGCGGCGGCTGCTCACACAGCTGCACAAAATGTTCAAGGAAAATTCAGGACAAAGAGGGAGACCGGAGGGTTCGATTTAAACTGGAGGCACACACGCTGCCCTGATTCTCCACGGGAACCGAAACACTCACCCAGTTTCCTTGTGCGGGTCCAAAGGCGCCTGACGGGCGGGAAGCCGGGCCCTGGTCCCGCGGGGCCCTCAGCTTCCCCGGGGCACAGCAGACCCCCTTGGGCGCAGCCGGAGGCCGTGCCCACCCGACCGTGCATCCGACCTGGGGGCCCTCCCGCCCACCCCGACCCTGCCTGACCACAGCTTGCTGGGCTGGGACGGCCTGGAGCTGGCAGTCCTGACTGCTCACCGGGAGGGTCAGCTCCGAGATGCCCCCGGCCGGACAAGCTGGTCCAGTAGAAGCAGAGGCTGCCCCTCACCCCCGGAGGTTTTTTGGGGGGAGTCTTCAACGGGGTGAGCAAATGTTCACCTCCAGAGCAGCGGCCACGCGATGAGGGCCGACCGTCCAGGGTGGGGCCTCTCCTCCCACTCAGACCCAGCCCTGCAGGCGGGCCCCTTCGCGTGGGCAGGAGAGGTGCTGGGGTCCCCTCGCTGAGCCCAAGGCTGGAAAAGTGGGGCCCCGTCTGGGCCGGCCCTGCTGCAGGCCGACCCAGTGCTGACCTCTCGGGGAGTTTGGGGGGCTCTGTTCCCTGAAGCCCACTGCACCTCAACTACAAGGCCACATCTAGGGCAGAGGAGCTGAGCTGGACACCTCTCCGCCTCGGTCTGTGCGGTGACTTGACTAGAAGCAAACATGCTCTCCAGGGAGGGACAAGGGTCGTGTGGCACGTGTCAAACCAGCGGCACATCCTTCAGCTGTGAGTCAAGGGCCCAGGAGCCCGCCATGGGGTAAGGGCAGAGGCCCTGCTCCAGCGTCTGCAGCTGCTCACGCCCTCGGGAGACAAGCCAGCCTCCCGCCCCAGGGGCAGCCCAGGCTGGTGTGTGCGTGGGGGGCAGGGCCGCTCCTCCATCCGCACCCCTGCCCTCAGCACCTGCTCTCCCTGTGGGCTCTTTCCGGCGGACGCTCACCTGCTCCTGCCTCACCCAGGTGCGCAAATGCATGGCGACCCGAGTCCTCCTTGACTGTGCTCCCCGAGACGCAACGCTGGGCTCCTGCAGGCGAGGTCGGGGTGGTGAGCAGCCTTGGCTGTCCCAGCAGCAGGACGGAGGCCCCAGCCCGTGTCCAGGTGGGTGCTCAGCGGTGCCCTTCCTGGCCCTGTGTTGCAGCCCGGTCCCCGCTGGCCCCCCATCCCCAATTGCACAGAGGCACCAGGTCCTTTGTAAGACATTCTGGATTGTTCCGGGACGTATTCCTGGAAGCCCGGCCCCTCCAGGGGTTCTGTGGGCACCCAGTTCCCTGGATCAGCTCTGCCAGCCCCTGCCCGCAGAGGGTCGTCCCGGGACCCGGCCGACAAGCCACAAGCAGGAGCTCCTTGGTGAGACTTGGGCTCCAGCTGCAGGGGACCAGGGCTGCACGAGGACTCGCCCCTTAGCTCAAAGCACCGTCCTGAGCTAAGGCCACACCTGGTGACCAAGAGGTACCCTCTGCCCCTTACCCCAGCCTGAGTGCCGCATTCGGTGCCTGAATCTGAGCCACCAGAATGTTTCAGGACCGAAGAAGGATGACAAGGATGATGGCCGTGGTCAGCAGGGACCCCGGCTGGCTTCAGCCACCCCGATGCCCTAAGTGCCGCCCAGTGGACAGCCCCCAAGGACAGAGGCTGCCACCTGTCACTCTGGGCTTCCTTCCCTGGGGACCCTGTGGGCCACAGGCAGTTCTGGGGGACACGACCACACGCGGGCCAGGGAAGTGGACTTGCCCCTGGGAGGTGAGGCTGTGAGCAGGGACCCTCCTGCCCAGGGCCACCCGTGTGGGTGACTCGCTGTGGGACCGGGGCTGCCCTCTCTGCCGTTCGGATCTCTGGGGACTTCGTGTGGGGGTGGGGTCCTTGCTTGGGTCAGGACTCAGAGAGGAGAGAGCCCTGTGGCTTCCCTTCTCCGAGCCGAGAGCAGGTCCCTGGGCTTTGCTGGGCCTGAGAAATGGAGGGTCTGCTCTTCCCTGAGCCAGAAGGGCTGGTGCAGGGGAGGGGAACGGCCCACCCTACCCCCCGCCACCCCCAAGCCAGCAGGGCCAGGCGGGCAGCACAGCCGGGCATGAACCCAGGAGCAGGGACAGAGCGGCCGTGAAGGCAGACAGAGCAGGCGGGAGCTGGGGATGGCGGGGACGTGCCCAGGAAGGGAATGGATATTGGGCACTCACTTCCCAGAGGAGCAGGGTTTGGTGGGGTCCCCCAAGATGAGGGAGGTCCCTGGGCAAGGTGAGCTGTCGGTGTTGGGTGAAGCCTCCCGTTGAGAGGAGCCACCCCACTGGGGGAGCCCTCCCCAGGTAGGATGGCCACTTGGCCTTCATTTGTCACCTAAACCTCACGCCCCCCTGCCAAGAAGGTGAAACTGCGGGTGGAGAGGCCCAGGGGGTGCCAGGACCCCTGGTGACGGGCGGCCGGCAGGGGCATGGGAGTGAGGTCCAGGGGGGCCAAGAGAGCGGCGTGGATCAGCAGGACAACCAGACTCTCCCGTCGGAAACACAGACACAGCCTTGCTGGCTTGGCTCAGTGGTTAGAGCATCAGCCCATGGACCAGGGTCCTGGGTTCAGTTCCCGCAGTAGTTCTCAACCTGTGGGTCGTGACCCCTTTGGGGGTCGAATGACCCTTTCACAGGGGTCACCTAAGACATAACAGTAGCAAAATTACAGTTATGAAGTAGCATTGAAAATAATTTTATGGTGGGGGGGTCACCACGATGTGGGGACTATACTGAAGGGTCGCAGCATTAGGAAGGGTGAGAACTGCTGCCCTTGGGCTGAGGGCACGCACCTCGGTTGCAGTTTGTCCGCGGCCCCGGGTGGGGTCGTGTGGGTGGCAGCCAGTAGATGCGTCTCTCTCACGTCGATGTTTCTCTCTCTTCCTCTCTCCCTCCCGCTCTATCTGAAGATAAATGCAAAGACGCTCAAGAGTCTCCCAGGACTGGGAGCTGGGACCTGGTGTCTGGCTCCAAGTTCACTGCAGGGCAAGCTTGGTCTCTGGGCAGCGTGCTCCATGCCCCCAGTGCAGGCCTGGGAGGGCCGACGGGCACCGGCCTGCCTGCGGCAGCGGCCACCTGAGCGGGAGGCCATGGCCGTGCCCTGTGGCCTGCTGTCTCCAGCGGGGAGGGAGGGGCTCTGAGCTGGTGGCTCTGCAGGAGGGGCGTGCCCTGCAGATCCTCAGACAGGCCAGCACCTTCCCACTGCCCTTCCCCGAGGGCAGGAATGTCGACAGAATGCCGCCTGGGGCAAGCCGCCCAGACACCTGTTCTGCAGACGCTCCTTGGGCCATCAATGGCCTGTGCCTGCTGCCCTGAGCCTTTGCTGCCCAGTGTGGAGAGGCCCTTGCAGCTCGTCCCTTTGTCCAGGGCCCAGCCCGAGCTCCCCGCAAAGGCTCAGCGGGTGCCACCTTGGGGTCCTGGGCGGCTGCAGGTCAGACGGGATGTTAGTATTACAAGAGGGGGTGGCCTCAGCTTGAACACCGAGCGGGGGATGGGGCCGCAGAAACCCAGCTGTTAGGCTGAGTGCCCGACTGCACCCCTGCTGTGGTCCCAGAGCCCAGGGTGAGGCCGGACGCTCAACCCCAGCCAGAGGGGACGGCCGGGCTGCAGCCCCTGGCCCGCCTGGCTGGCACAGAGCGGGGTCCTGCAAAGGGTGCTGTGGGTGCTGGTGGATGGCTTACCCGGAGCTCCACTGGGGGGGGGGGGGAGGCATGGGGTTTCACCACTTTTCTTTAAAATTTTTTTAAATTGATTTTTAGAGGGAGAGAGGAAGAGAAACATCCATCAGCTGCCTGCCGCATGCTTCCTACTGGGGACCAGACCCACAGCCGGGCATGTGTCCTGACTGGGAGTTGAACCGGTGACCATAGGGTGCAGGGCGAGCCCCACCCACTAGGCCACCTGGCGGGCTGGGGGGCGGGGCTTCACCACTTTCCAACAACTGCCAGGCCGGGGCTGGGTCTTCGATAACCGTGCTCCTGAGCCTT